TCGCTGATGAAGAAATTGAACAGCGCAGGCCCCAGGCCCCAGATTTGGAGTGCATGTAGTGGCAGGGAGTCAGCTCCCCCTGACTCCCAGATAAGCCACCCATGGCCCTGTCCTGCTCCTCACTGGGGCCCTGCCCCAGGCCCCAGGCTCCATGCACTGCCCAGCTGGGCAACAGCCCCAGCCCTGCCCAACTCCCTCCCTCCCTATGGGGGCCTAAATCCCCACCACCACTTACCTGCAGGAACTGCTGTCCAGGCTGCCATGTGCAACATGGTGCCCCCTGCCTGACCACCTTCCTCCTGCTCCCTCCCAGCCCCCTGCAGGCTGGAACTGTGCCAGCCTGCAGAGAACTCTGCAAAACCACAAAATCCACAGTTTCTCTGTTAAAATAAATCCATGTTTTTCTCTGGTAAGGGGGAAAATCTGCATTTTTCTCCAGTTTTCCATGGGAAATGAAAAACCCAGATCCCTGGTGATAAATGGTGTGAGAACTCATAGCCCAACAACTCCACAAAGCAGTGGATTATGGGAGATTATGTAAACATGAATGTCTCTTGGTGGCAGTGTTAGGTTTCTGTGCACTGCCTATTCCTTTAATAACTTTTTCATAACATAAGACTTTGGTTAAAACTGTCTTTGATGACAAATCGCAGTGGGTTTGCTGTTCTAACCCTACACCCACACAACATGAAACCACACCCTTTGCAAATTTTGTTCTAGGACAAAAATAGTAGGATTGCTGCAGGTAAAGATTAAGATATATGGGTAGAGCTGTTGTTTGCTGCAGTTGTACAGCTTATTTCTTATTCAGTTCTATACTGTTGCACCTTCAGGGTGTCTATATATGTGCTCCAGTAAGGAAGGCTAACCACACTCTTCCCTGCATTAGTAGGTGCATCATAAGTAGGTCTAGGGAGGTGATACTTGCCCTCTATGTGGCACTGGTGAGGCCACAGCTACAGTACTGCATCCAGTTTTGGGCATCGCACTTCAAGAGGGACATGGAGAACCTGGAAAGGGTTCAGAGGAGGGCTACTCACATGATTGAGGGCCTGCAAGTAAGATCCTATGAACACAGACTGAGGGACCTGACTCTATTCAGCCTCCACAAGAGAAGGCTGAGAAGTGATCTTGTGGCAGTCTACAAGCTCTTCCGTGGGGGTTAGCAGGGAATAGGGGATATTCTATTTACGAGGATGCCCCTCGGGGTTACTAGAAACAACAGCCATAAACTGAAGGAGAGTAGATTTAGATTGGACATGATATAGAAGTTCTTTACGGTGAGGGTTGCCAAATGGAATGGGCTTCCAAGGGAGATGGTGCTACCCTCTTCTTTGGAGGTGTTCAAAAGGAGATTAGACAAGGACCTGGCTGTGGTTACTTGACCCCAGTGCTTTTTCCTGCCCAGGGCAGGGGGTCAGACTTGATGATCTAATAGGTCCCTTCTGACCCTAGAAATCTGTGAAATCTATGAAACTGGGTTGGGGGGAGGTTTAGTTAGAGAGGCTCTGGGGGCACCTATACATGTGACAGGGCTCTATTCCAATGCCTGCTAATTAGTAGGGCTGTGCGAGGCTTCGGACAGAGCTTCAGATCCGGAGAA